CACATAATAGTTCATTTACCATCAAATCAGCCTACTCTTTCCTTAGCAACAACAGTAAGCCTCTGATGAATGGGGAAGGGGGTAAATTCAATTGGATATGGAGGTTAAAGGTTCCTAATAAAATTAAAACATCCATCTGATTGCTTGCTCAGGATAGGCTCCTAACAGAAGCCTTCTTGCACAAAATTGTTATTAATTGTAATCCTACCTAATGTTTCTGCTCCAATATACCAAAGAATAGTGACCACATCTTCTATGAATGCCAAATGCCATTCAGTTCTAGCATGACCTGATCTCAAATAATTCGATTAGAAGCCAACAGATGAACCCAATATTCACAGTCCAGCTTTGGCCAACCACATGGAACAAGCTAAGAAAGTTGCCTTTTAATAATACTATCTCTTAGGAAGTCATACTTCCATTCTATTTTTGGCACATTTGGTTAACTAGGAACCATAACCTATTCAACAATAAGAAATATGTCATTTTAACTGTGAACACCATTGCCAACACAACTGAGTATCTCACAATATCAGAAACATGAACTATTAGAAAGACATTTCCTACCATGGTTAAGTGAGAGCCTCCCATGAGGGGGCATTACAAACTTAATAATGATGGTGCCGCTAAGGGTAACCCATGCGCAGGGAGAATTTGGAGGGGAGGGGGGATATTTAGGACACACAGTGGTGATTGGGTATCTGGAAAACATACCATACACCATCAACACCCTTGCAAAACTAACTGCCTTACTTAAGGGACTCCAAATTGCATAACAAAATGGCTTAATATCATTGGAAGTAGCCACAGATTTAGTAGAGGTAATAAGAATGCTAATCACAGAAAATATAACTTATGATCCTATTATATGTGAATGCAGGTTGTTGATCCAAAAAATAGCCAAAGTAGTAGTGAAACACAGCTACAGGGAGCAGAATAGAGTGGTCGATGCATTGGCAAAGGAAGGAGCAAAAACAAGTTTTTTGGGAAGAACTATCATGCTACAAGTTCCTCCGGTGTTTGCAAACGAATTATTTTGGACAGACCTCCTAGGAATTGAAGTAACTAGAAATATTTTGGCTTGTAATATTAATACTTTGGAACAAAGCATGTTTGCCTTAGGGGGTTGCAATATCCTCAGGTAATCAGTATTTTGTAGT